ACTCTCCTCCTCTCTCTCTCTCTCTCTCTCTCTCTCTCTCTCTCACTTTGTTCTTATTCCAATGGCTCCTATCCATCCATCCATCCATCCATCCATCCATCCATCTATCCATCCATCCATCTATCCATCCATCCATCCATCTGGATTCCACATCGCCAGTAGAGACGTGGACGAAGCATTACTTGTTCACGCAATTAACATTGGCATACAAGTGGCATAGGCAGCTCCATAACGGGCTTTTCTAAGTGGTTCAAGTCTAATAGCACTTCAGTTGATAGTAGTCTTCTCGAACCCAATCACGACAGACGCCCTTCTCCAGCGACGTAAAGAGTTGATGTTCAGCCATAGAAGTCGAAATGCTTGTTGTTGTGATTAAGTTTGCTTGCCGCTTTTACAAATGTAACGCTTCGAGTCTTTCGCGAATTAGCAATGAGGCCAAGTAGTGGTAAGGATGAACACTTATTTTCTAAAGCACAGAAGCGCTGTGAGTATACTAGGACGGCTCGAGGAGTACAGTAGGAGTACAATCCGTTGAGACTAAAATTGATATTTGTTTTTGAGGAGTAATAACTATTTTGTGCAAGTTTTACTAAATATTACTAGTGCTGGAAAAATGAGTTGCTGATTACAATGATTTTTTGTCTTACTCCCTGATATCTCCTAGAAGTGGATTCCATTTTCAGGTATTTAAAGGCTGTATTATCCAATAATGCACGTTTGTTTAAAAGTACCAATAAGGTAAGAGGAAGTCAGCATATGCCATTACCATGACTGAGGGGACGTCATTGACCCCAGAGGAGGCAATGAACTCTGACCCCTTATAACCCCGATTCTCTACACAAATCCACACCCTAGCCAAACAAATGTTCTTCTGCTTTGGTTAATTAGTCCAATTTAAGAGTATGACCCCAGAAGTGGGGGAGAAAAACGTCGAATTCAAGATATAATTTTGAAATTGCAGTCCGTGCTGAATATGCTAACTTCCCTACGTTTCTATCAATGTAATGTACAGTTGTTGTGCAAATAATTTTAATAATGGTTACTTTTAAGTGAATACCCAAAATTTGCCCTCAGTATTTTAAATGTGCCATCGGATAAATCAAGTTCGATTTTTTGTGCGCAATTTTGTACTATATAAAATAATTTTGAATATAATTTTTGAATAATGAGCAATAATTACGTTTTATTGCGTACATGAAAGTATAAAGTGCTCAATTTTGTTTATCTTACTACCTAAGATTTATTTCCTACTTCAAACGCGAAACTTTTGTTTAATAGTCCTAAAATGATTTTATTGGGTGTGTTGCTTGTTTTCTTCTGAACGGATTTATTACCGAAGCATTTTGCCTCTATGTTGTGGTAACTTCTCATATTTTTGTCATATTCCCCAAATCGCTTTAAACACCACTTTCTTATGTTCAAAGTCCTGTTATCCTATATTATTGGACCGCCAACACTTTTATTTTGTCGCATTTTAGGTCTGTGAAAATGTGTAGCTATGCCAGCTAACGGAATCGGAACTTATTTCTAATGGAATCGAAAACTAATGAGGCACATCTCTTCTTGTCGGGTGTTTCTGGAGTATCAAATCCTCAAGCGAGAGCTCTTTTCGCTACTTGTCACGCTACGCACTCTCAAATTCCCGTTTCACTTCCAGCTAATCATAACGTCGATGGGGATAACTACAACAACTGCTCGATCAGGCCAACTGTTTCTTCATGTAAACGGAAGTTAAGTTCATCGCCTCCCGCTACGAATGATCGAACAATGGAGGGGTTTTCGAATGGCAGTCCTACGGCGCCCAAGTGTTGTGTTCAGCCATCGCCGGCGAAGCGTGTTTGCCAAAACAGTTCTCAGCCAGAGGCACAAATGATTGCTGCAACGGTTTCGAGCATTGCACCAAATCAGGCTGCAACAATTGCGCTCGTGAATAATGTTCAGTCTGTACAAGCCTCTGGAGATGCTGTCTCTGCTTTAGCAGCCGAACTAGTACCACCCCAACCTCCTGTGGCATCAGATTTCGATCGTTCGAATTCGGGTAAACTGGAGCAAGTAATTGAGCATGTGCTTGAACTGGCCCGGAGCGATGAACCACATGAGGACGTTTTTGTTCTACCCGTTCGGACTCGGGAATTCATTCCAATGCCCTCACCAATAAACCAAGGAAGTACTCCCAGTTCCAGTCTTAACACATCGCCCCCCGGCTCCCCTTCCAGTTCACCCCGTCTTATTTCTCCCGCATTTTCAAATTCCACTGTTTCCTCCAACCCAATGGTCATCACAGCTCATACATTTCCCAGGTGTACACCAGTAGATCAAGTTCCATCCGGGATTCCACTACATCAATGCTCCGCACCCACTGCGCCACCTGCTGCACTTACTGACTTACAACGAGAGAAGTTGCGTTTGCAAGCTGTACGCGAGTCTAATGTGCAGGTGTCCGGGACGAACGCGCCGCCTACAGTTACAATGTTGATGAAAACTACTGCGACTGCAGATTCCCTTGAAACGTCTTTCATGCAGTCCAAGGGAATAACCCAGAGTGGTTACTTTGATTCTTCAGGTGCGAATATTCAATCACAGGGGTGCGTTCCACGACAGATTCTCTCAAAGGTGTCCATGGCCGTCGCGGAGACAAAAATACTCCCAGTCCAGCAGCCGGAAATGCAGAAGCAGCAAATAAATCAGCAAAATCAAAATCTCCAGCCAAGACTGTTTGCGTACATCCCTCAACGCCAAATTTATGACTCGGCAAACTCAGTTTTTACCGTTCCCACCAGTGTTCAACCCAGACCGAACATATCACCTCAACTCGCTGTGAAAAAGGATTCCACTGTAGAATTCACAAATCAAATCAACTTTCCTCCCCATGGAACCGCAACTTCCAACGGTGTTACTCAAGTGGTCCCCTCTGTTAAGCAGCCTGGTTTAACTCCCGTTCATACAATGCAGTACTCGGACTCGTCTCCCAAATCTGCTCTTGGAACAGTTCCAGCGAGGAAGCGCCCCCCTTCGTCTTCGAAGAGAAAAAAGTCGGCACCGGGTCACCAAAATATACCCCAGGGAACTAAGGTGTCGATTCCTGCCGGTCCCATGACCTTTGTTCGGAATCCTCTTGTAGCTCCTCAAGGTATGGAGTTTGCGCAGCAAGTGCAGCCACCCCTACGGCAACCGACAGCATCGCAGGAAGCCATGAATAAGCTGGTTTATTTCGACTCAAAGAAGTTTTTGTCCGATCCAACTTTGGAGGCATTTGCGTCTGCTCTTCCTCCAATGGGCAGTCCCACATGCTCCACGCTGCCACTAGGTGATGAATCCTGGCTTACTAATTGCGGAATAAAGTACAGATGCAGTGGCCTCGCTCTGAAGGCCGTCTGCCCTTCTGACATTGGTGACACTCCGGCGGAATTGAGTGATCTTTATCTCTACCAATTTCTGCCACAGGCTCTAACTCATCCAACAGTACAGCGCGCTACTCACATTGCAAAAACACCCGAAATCCCATCTCGCATTTGTGTGTCTCCCGAACCAGTGACTCTGGATAATCGAATGAGGTCTTTTTGGACGACACTGCGACACAGTGATTCCCCAGGTGCAACAGACACTGGTTCTGTTGTTGATAGTAATGATTCGTGTTCAATTTTGTTGATGCTGAAGACGCCTTGTTCACCATGCGAGGGCCCGACAGAAAGTAGAACTCCTCCTCTTCAACTTTATCATATTCCCAACACCTGTTTGCTTAAAGCCACACAGCCATCTCATCGGAGTTCCAATGCCACTGACGCTTCCTCGATTGATAGTGAAATTGGCGAATCGGTCGGAAGTAGTCACGAGAAGCTGTCTTCACTAAGTCATGAAGTCAAACCCGATTCTCGCATAGTTTTTGGTGTCAGTTCCTCTCACTTCGAAGATGTTCCGAGGCTTCTTCAGTATTTGTGTGACCAGGTTGGGATCAGCCAAAGTTACGTTACGTACAGTAAGGGTGAGATCAGCATCCAAAATCCAGAAGGCACCTCACATTCCGAGGACCGATTGCGCGAGTTTGGGAATCAATTGAAAATATACTTTTCACATGTATCTGTTCGAGTTGAGCCGCTGGCGTCAATTGGTGCCAAAGCCGAAGAAAGTAGCGATATTTCAAGTCAGATTAAGTTTTTTGCTGAGCTGCAGAAGGAGAAGGCTGACGATTTTATGCAAACTTCGATGGCTTCTAAGCACAGGGAGGAGGTGCTTAGCGTCGCCTCCATTGCATCTTCGAAAAGGCTGACCGGTGAGAGATGCCGAATTTGTCACTCCCTTGTACCCCGAGACTCCGGGCTGAGGCGGAAGTTGGATGAATTAGTCCCTATACCTCCTGTCTTGACAGTAGATCATGGATACCACGCTTCCGACTGTTTTGTTTTTTGTAGCGAGATGTGTCTGAACAAATTTGTCGACTTTATTTCTTCTCACTCTCTCTCTGCTCACATTACGCAAGTCAATAGCAATGCTCTCGAACAGGCGGTTTCGGTGACCGAGTCTCGCCAACACCCCCAGCAACTCGTTTTTGGCAGCGTGCCAGGTTCCATTCCCGTCCTTCTTCAGCATCTGCCGCACAAGAGCCTTAAGTCTCAGGCTGGTGGGCGCAGGAGTTCCTCACTTTCCATGGGTAAGCGAAAAGTTTCTCCCAAGCAGAAGCGATGGCGTGATGTGCGTTGGCGCATATACAAATCCGACGTATATCATGCGCGAAAGTTTGCCAATGTATCACACACGCTCATTGAAGGCGAGTCGCAAACCCCCCGGCTCCTATGCACGGTCATTCGTGATCCTGAGGTTCCTGATACACGTTCGTGCATTCTCTGCGGTGCCAAGGGAGATGGCAGTGTTTCTACGACGGAACGTCTTCTTTGCCTCGGTCCTGATCGGTGGGTGCACCTAAACTGTGCACTTTGGTGTTACGACATTTATGAATCGGTGAGTGGTTCTTTGCACAGGGTGGATGAAAGCATCGAACGCGCATTGAAGACTAGCTGTTCACACTGCGGGAAATTGGGTGCCGGCCTTCCTTGCTACAATCCAAGATGCTCTCTTGTCTACCATGTTCCTTGCGCCATCAGCGTCGGATGCATGTTCTTCACTGATCGTGGAATGTATTGTACGAGTCATCAACCGCGCGACTCCCATCCAATGCAGCTAACTTCACTGGTAGTAAATAGAAAGGTCTACGTTACCCGGGACGAGAGTTCACAAGTGGCCGATGTTGTTCGGGATGATACCCGTGCCTACCGAATTAGGATTGGAAGCCTCATTCTGAACAGTGTGGGGCAACTTCTGCCTCGCCAAATCGAAAGTCGTCACTTCCATACACAGAAGTACATTTACCCTGTGCACTATTCATCTACTCGAATTTACTGGTCTATGCGACGTCCTGGTCAGCGTGCATTGTATCATTGTAAGATCAAAGAGCAAGAAGGTCGGCCACTCTTTCAGGTCACAGCTGTTGATAAGGGCCTTCCAGATGTCGTACTTCAAAATGTTAGTTGCAATGACTTGTGGAAGGGAATTGCAACAAAGATCCAGCAGCTCCGAAGAGAGAATGGTTTGATACAGAACTTCCCTGACTTAATTTGCGGTGAAGATATGTTTGGTCTATCTGAGCCGCATATTGTTCGGGCTATCGAATCTCTGCCTGGAGTTGACAATCTCGTTGACTATGCCTTTCATTTCGGTCGCTTGCAGCTCATTAAAGGTATGCCACTGGCCGTCAACCCTTCCGGTTGCGCGCGTTCTGAACCAAGCTTTCTCACTTCTCTTCGACGTAGGAGGGCTTGTGCAGGCTCTCATGAGAAGTCTCCCATGAAATCAGTTTGTTGCCAATTTAGAAATCTCGGACGTCAATCATCCGGGATTTTTCCTATTACCAACTTGCCTTCCGCTTCTGAGCCATGGAGCCGCATTTCCATAGATCTGACAATGCCGAAGAATTCCACACTTGTGAGCTGGTCACATCAGTACCGACGCTTGAGGAGTGAATTTCATAATAACGTCTCCTTTGGTAGATCGCGCATTCAGGGTTTCGGGTTGTTTGCGGCCCAAGATTTGGAGCCAAACACAATTGTTATTGAGTACATCGGAGAGCTCATTCGACTGGAGTTGGCTAACAAACGAGAAAAGGAGTATGAGGCGCGCAATCGAGGGATTTACATGTTCCGACTGGAGGACAACATGGTCATCGATGCCACTATGTGTGGGGGATTAGCGCGCTACATAAATCACTCGTGCCAGCCCAATTGTTTTACCAAGTATGTTAACTTTGACAACGAGGGACATATTGTGATTATTACCAAGAGAAAGATAGAGAAGGGTGAAGAATTGACCTACGACTATCAGTTTGACTTTGAAGATCGGACAAGCAAGATACCTTGTCTCTGTGGTGCAGTCGGTTGTCGAAAATGGATGAACTGATCTCGTCTAACGCGTGCTTCTCCTGTGTATAGCAATGTAAATATCCTTTAATGCGTGAGGCGTGTACATAAAGAAATGAGCAGGATCTCTTACCACACCTGTCGATACGATTGCGTTAGCCGAGAGGCGTTTCTCTCCTGATCTCATCGTTACGCCCTCCTACGTCCTTGATTGCCTTTCATGTAGATAAGTGTCACCGACCAGCGTGCTTCCTTCACCTCCTGTCCCGCGTCGACAGCTCTTTTTGTTAGGACTGTTATACTCCTCGTACTGAGACATTCCTTATTCCTCCTCCTCTCCCTCTACCCACTTCCAAGTACTACTGCGCTACACAAATCTGATGCTGCTCAAATCGTCTTACACGACTGACTAAGCCCTTTTTCCTCCCCTTTCTCTTACACACACACCACTAGCACACCTTACCCTTTGTTAGCGCAAACACTTGTCTGTACATATCTGTATTGTGTATATTTTCTTACCTTTACTGCGTGTGTGGCGCCATTGTGCGTGTCAGATATCGTGTAAAACAAATCTGCTTTTGTATGGAATGCTCGCTATAGTCGGTTGGGAATTGAGTTGCTGCGGTTATACTCGTGTGATGTGGTTGGTCGTGCTCGTCTGTCAAGTTTTGCCTTCGATGGAAGTTTGTGAGGGGCTCTAGCGCTGTTTTTAGCCCTGTATGCAAGTTAGCGCCTTCTGCGCTAAGCTCTTACCTGTGCTCCTCTACTTTCATCTCGTGGTTCCGGTGAACCGGCGCGCTACCCCCCCCCCTGGTGTGGGCCTTTGTAATGTTAGGTTGGTGCGCGCTGATCGTGTTTGTCGCGGGGACTGATATTGGGGGTCGTGGATTAGCAGGTTGGTTTAGTGCATCTTGTGCTGTAGCGTTTAGGCTCAACTGATCCTGTGGACCTACTAAAGTTAGTGATGAACTTTGGCTCCGCTCTTGCGGCCTATTTGTGCGGGGTGTCAGGTTTCGTTGGGTTCGTCACTTGAGGCCTTCTGGTAGATCTGGAGGAAATACTTTTCCGGGTGGATCAAACGTGAAAGTGTCCATTACCTTATCGTTTTGATATTAGCCTAATTTAGTACTAGTTGGGACCATTTGGATTGGTTTTGGTGTGTCTATTTTTACCTGCGTCCGCTATTTTTCATTTTTAAAGCCTTCACACAGGACGACATGATGTCAAGAAGGTGGCCGAACTGAAGAGACGAAAGGATATGCGCGCTCTCCTGCGTCAGTTCCCATCACCAAAGCGATAGGACCTTTGACAGTGATGCATCTGAGGGACCGGAGCTGATGTGAACAGTGTACCATGCCACCAAAGTGGCAACAGAGGCAATAAGGTGATTAAGCATGGCCCTAAAACAAAAACCCCTCTATCATAGCTGTTCTTTTACAATTGAAAATTGTTCTATTGATTTTTAGGTTTTTATATATCAGGCACCGTCCCTAAGGCTAGAAATTTCGATAAAAAGGAAATTATTGGATTGAGAATGTTTGGATGCCCTTTCGCGATTGTCATCATCTTACTGAATCACCTATATGCAAAGATTTGAGTTGTACGACAGATTGACTGGGATTTTTCTACCTTTTTGAATTCCGACTTTGAGTGTGATTGGAGTTCTTGTGAGTTCACCAAACCGGTTAAATGTTGATGCATTGTCAGCCAAACTCCTATTCACTCAAACTCCGTTCCATTTGGGGTGATCCCAATGTGACTTTGCTGCTCATGTGACCCTGCAGGCGGAGGTCCTGAGTAATTCGCTCGTGTTCCCACTTTCCTCCACCTATCGCCTTAATGGGTTTCTTTGCTTTCGAATACCACTCCTTTATTGTATTAAGTGGTAAAAACAGTCTTCGCTCTATTTACATATCCAGAAGCTGTAACTAGTCGTTTGGTGTGCTTAGGTGTTTTTTGTTTGAAAAGCACATTCTTGTTTTTACCGCTTTCAGACCCGGGACTAATGTGTTTGTCGGGCGCATGCTTTTTGAATATTTCTTGTTTTACTGATCGCTCAGACACAAAGTATGCATTTGATATGAAACAGGGTTTGTAATCTCATTTGGGCTAAATAAGTGTTGCTAACTTTTGAATAAGATGAAGAGAGTCCGTGGCTCTATTGCTAAGTTGATTTGGATGGGTCATTTCGAGTAATGCGGATATTTTAAGGCAAAAGTTTTTATTATTTTCTTATTTTTGGGAGATTTTTAATACTTTTATCGCAAGGTGGCTGTAGCACCTCCCCATTTTCCATTACGGTTAGCGGTCGTCTTATCGCCCAAGTGAATCTTATTAGCTTTTTGGCAGTGCACTTTTCATTGTTTTCAGGAAATCGGTGGTGACGTCGCGATAAATCATTTACTTAATCACAGGCTTACTTCTTAAAGTATTTGGGGATGGGGAAATCATCAATCCAAAATTCATGACTAAAATGGGGTGAATTTCAAAGTATGGTGTTGAAATATATGTAGAGTTGGTGCCTTCAATGAGCTATCTTCTCTTAGGCTCTTGGTATTTTTTATTCTTGGAGGGGACATCGTATCACGGCATATTAACTTGTTCATCTACATTAAAATCGGAATACGCTTCCATGTCCGTTATTAAACAACTCTAAAGAAGCATAATTACCTAGTGTCTTAACCACTAATTCTTAAATTAATAAGAAGCATTACAGCCTCATTTAAGCCCTCGGGAGGGAAAAGACATTCTGCAAAGGTGAGGAATTTCACCTATAAACCTGGTTTTTTAAAGATGATAACTGAAAACAGTGATTTTGGCACCACAAAGTAAGCTCAACAGTTTGGTTAACTAAATTAATTGGTTGATGGGCTTTGATTGGCGATTTCTCAACTAGGCGCATCCAGCATGCATAAAATCTTACCGCCGTGAACTTTTAAGCCTGTCTTAATGTGTCATTGTTTTTTGACAATGATGACCAAATCTGCCTATAAATAGGAGCGGCAAATTCAAGAACCGTTTGAATTGACTTGTTTTGAAGCCGGTACGACAGGTACACTCTGTAAATTTGTACTAGTTTCATCATTCACTCGTTTTTTGCGTAATTACCACTTCAACAATATAATGCAAAATAACGTTTCTGCAGATTATAAACAAGTTTACTTTTATGGGCTACCTGAGTTTTTCGACTTTTGGAGTACTTGTCCTCCGAAATATAACCCAAACCGGGCAAATTGTATTGCTGCAATCTATTAGCATTTCCGCTACAGATGCAGAAAGTTGCCATTGCTACAAGGGAACATTTTCACTTTTTGTGGACAATCTCAGTCGTTAACAAAAGTACCTGAACCTCTTTAATACACCGCTTTGATACGCTAATAAGTTAATAATTTTTGGTTGCTCACGGACTTATGGTGGACCACGCCCACAAACTAAGTTGCAATATAACATGCCTTCGTCAGCTATGGCAATCTTGTCTGAACATTTAGGGTCTGTGTGGCTTGATCGATTTCAGTGATATTCAAAACTATTTTGACGTAAGAAATAACTATGCGTGAACCTAATTTATTGAAATGGTCAGAAATTCAGCACATTTTAAACCAGAAAAGCATGTTTCTTTGCACATTTGTAGCATTATGGAAATGAATTATATGCAAGCATTTATATACATTACACTAAAGTATCAGGACAGGCCCAGGAATACTTGTGAACCCTCCATTAGTCATCTAAAAACGTGGGCTTTCCCTTTTTTTAAGCAACTTATATATGAAATCTTTTTTGCTTAAACCTCACGCACGGACTACAAGTACCACTCTGCGCAGCTCATAATTAATCAGATAAGATGCAAAGTCCTGAAAGCCCTCCCCTTTCCTTTTATTATCTGCATTTAAAAGTGCGTTCTCGTGCTAAGAAAGAAAGAGAAGTTTTTCAATAGAAATCGTGACTTTTTTTCTTTCTTATTGTCTCCATTGTGAGCGAAATGATGACCTTTAATGCAGCCATTCTATTATGTTCTTCATCCGCTGTTTCTTCTTGTCTCTGCAGATTGGTATTATTGGACTGCTGTTTTAGCATTTATATCGTATTTTGAATTTACTGTGGAGTATCCTGTATCTATTTGTATTATCTTTAAGTGATGACACCAACCGTTTTGCCCTGCTATTAAGTACACCCTTTTTTCAGCTTATCTATGGTGCAAAAATGTGGCTACCAGAAAGCCGCATTACTCACTCTCAAGTAGACGATTGTAGCGACAATCTACAAGCCTTTTGAATGAGCAAAGCAACACTCCTTGTTTTGTTGGGTTGCAATGACATTCAACAGCAGTAAATACCTCCCTCATTTTATTACCTGAGAGCGAATTTCTTTAACAACTTCCATCAATCTTGATTGTCTAGCCAAGTGGAAGCTACCAGTGATGTTGCAAATCTATTTACTCTCATTAAACCCATTTTCGTTACCGCATATCCCTTTCAAAAATGGGTGGAGTCCACGTTGAAAATCAAGTAATTAGCTTATAAATACCTATTAATTACTTCTAGCTAATGAACCTTCCTTTTCACAAGGGATCTTGCTGCTCGAGCCGGTTTTTGCCCTTGCAAGATGGCTTAATTGTTTGTCTGATATAATAAAGCTTCATGAATGCTCTCCACTTTCTCTTTTTAGATTTCGTCTACATGCAGCCCAATCTCATTTCCCTTCTACGTCGTCTCAAAGCTAACGGACTTACTTTATAAAAGCCGAAACAATGATCCTGTAATAACGTGCATTTTGTCACTCCTTTCTAGGATAAAATGAAATACACAAATTGTCCCCAGTGACGCAAAACTTCATCTGAAAATAAGCAAAGCAACTAAACTGATGAGATGGCAATAACGAACTGGTGTTAAAACTAAACAAAACAACCTAGCACTGAATCTATTAATAAAAGCAGAAATTTTCCACATGTCATTGCGAACGAAACTTGACACCTCTTCGTCAGCCACTCTGCTTTCTATCTCTCCGACGATTTTGAAAAACTAAATGCAAAGCCTTCAACAA